CTGCTGAAATGTCTTCATGTTCTCTACTATATGTTACATCCTTTGCCCTGTGTTGTAGCTGCCAGTTTAGAAGAGGTGCAGGGACAAAATCTAACAGCGCTGCAACAGTGTAACTAGACTTGTATGATTTGTTTCCTCTTCTTTTGCATATACATGTTTCCATTATGTGTTTCTACCTAATCACAAATTTCACTCGTATGGTTTTGTTTGTATGTACAAACATCTGGAGCCATGTTTAAGATGTTCTTTGAATGCCTTTTGCTACATTCTTTTGTATCTTCAAAGCTGCAAAAGAAAAAGAATTTGGTCCTTCCAATTACATGGCTTTAAGAACAGTATGAATGGTGCTGTATATACAGCTGTCGTACTTCTAATTTTCCTTGAAAATCTTTATCTTGTCCATCAACAGTTACATTAAAAAAACATTTTAGCCTAAGCTAATTTATGGTCAGGTTTTATATTACACAAAAATATGCTCTCACTTTGTTCTCAGTGAATCCTCTCTCTCCCTGCAGTTTATGATTTTACATGGGATATAACAAGTACCCAGAAAAGGAGGAGTGCACATACTGCCCAGCATAAAGTCCTGAGGCCTGATCTGAGGGCAGCTGAATATACACAGTGTCCCCAGATTGTAGAGGTAATACTGCACTCCCTGACGCTTGGTCTAGGAAACCCTTTTTGTATTCATCATATGTATACATCACTGGCTCATTGTTCCTCATCAAAGCCACCCACACATTAGCTCCTTTGCAATGGATGTGGTAAGCAAAATAATAAATGCCAGGCAGGTCGCAGGTGAAAATTCCTGTCTGGGGGTTGTAGTTTTGGCGACCATTATACAAGAGCTTTTCAAAGATAACTGGAGTGCCCACAGGTGGGAAGGGCATTGTTGCCACAGCTGTAAATGCTGGCATTTCCAACCCATTGGTACCCAAGACTTCTCCCACATTGCCTCCATACTTGCCCTTCTTTCCATAACTACCAGCCTTAACACCATCTAGTCCAGGACCCATCTCAGAGAGTACCCCAGACATGTCAGGAGATAGACCAGGTACTCCAGGGGGGCCTGGTGGTCCAGGAAGGCCAGGCTGACCTGGTTGTCCAGGGATTCCTGATGGACCCTCTTTTCCTGGAGGTCCTACGGGACCAGGAAGACCTGGTCTTCCCTCACCTGCAAAGCCTGGCTGACCAGGTGAACCACTATCTCCTTTTGGCCCAGGAAGACCAGGAGGCCCAGTTGGTCCTGCTGCACCATCCATTCCTGGGATTCCCCTAGGACCTTGTGGTCCCACTTCACCGGGTAATCCACCCTGTCCTTTTGGCCCGGAAAGTCCTGGTGGACCAGGGATACCGGGTAGACCTTTATGCCCACTGTCTCCTTTGGCACCACTTGGTCCTGGGGGACCTCTTGGCCCTGGCTCCCCAGGTTCTCCAGTCAGACCATCTTTACCAGGCATTCCAGTAGGACCGGGGTCACCCTGGGCTCCATCAAGCCCCTTAGGTCCTCTGTCTCCATGCTCTCCTTTAGAACCAGGTACACCCAAACCTCCTGGGAGTCCCATAGGGCCTGGAGGGCCTGGCTGACCTTTTGGGCCAGGGGGACCAAGCATACCAGGTAGTCCTCCATGGCCCTTATCTCCTTTTTGTCCTGGATGTCCAGTTGGCCCATTCATACCTTTATCACCCTTTGGTCCTGGGAGTCCTGGTTTACCAAATCCAGGCAGTCCTGGCTTTCCTGGCAAACCTGATGGTCCTGGATGACCTTTTGCACCTGGTATGCCAGGTTGTCCTGGCAGGCCATTTGGACCTGGCTTTCCTTGACCAGGTAATCCTGGTGGGCCATGCTCTCCTTTTTCACCAGGTGGCCCAGCTGGTCCTTGCACTCCAGGATGTCCTTTCTCTCCAGGTGGTCCTTGTGGGCCTGGTGCCCCATTCAGCCCAGGCTTTCCAAAACCAGGTAATCCTCTTGGACCTGCTGGTCCCGGAAACCCTGGGAGCCCCATATTACCACGTGGTCCTGGCTGGCTCATCCCTTTGTCTCCTTTGGGTCCTGGTAATCCTGGTAGTCCTGGCAGACCCTTGTGACCTGGCTCTCCTTTGGGTCCTGGTTGGCCTGGAAATCCATTTACCCCTGGTTTACCTATTCCTGGTAGCCCTGGTGGTCCTGGGGGACCCTGAGGTCCTGGCTGTCCAGCTGGCCCTTCCTCTCCCCTGGGTCCCATTTCCCCTTCTGGTCCAGGTTCACCATTTACTCCTGGCTTGCCTTGAAGTCCTGGCAAACCTGGTTTGCCCACCCCCGGTACTCCTGGTGGACCAAGAGGTCCAGGTTGTCCCACAGGTCCCAACTGGCCGATCCCTGGAGGTCCAGGGGGCCCTGGAGGTCCCTCAGGTCCAGGTGGACCAGCTGGGCCTGGCTCTCCTTGAGGAATTCCCTCAGCACCACTAGGGATTGTCTGACCTAAGAGAAATGAAACAAATATTGTAATTGAAAATACATAGACAAAGGTTATAAAACTGGTGAAAGCACATAAACACACAACTGACACCGAGCTGAGCACAGAAAATACTTCCTGTACATATTTCTTTTCTCACACATGAAGAAATAAAAAATACAAACAACAAATAATTTATTCGCCATTAAAAAAAATTTTAAAAATTGTGCTCTTGCCATGTTTTAGTAGGTCATTTTTTTAACATTTTGAGGGTTGTTGATTACTGTCTGTTGAAAGCTTCTCACCTTTGTCTTGACCTCCATTATATCCTCTCCCTTTGCCTTTGAGCACGGGTATGTGGGGAAGCTCCTTCCTGTAGTGGGGATACTGCATATAGGGCACCTCTTTTCCATGGTACTGTTGCTGGGGAAAGCCTTCTTTGCCCATGCCCATGTGTTGGGGGTGCTGTATTGGCTGGTATGGTTGAGGGCGTTGTTTGTGTCCGTAGTAAGCCCCACCACTGGCGTAAGCAATTGCTACAAACTGTAGCAGTACAAGGAAGAGGGGAACAGGAAGAGGAGGCATGGCCAAGGCCTGTATGTGAGGTAGAAAGGCAAGATATGAGTGGGGGTGGGGTGGGGGTTGCTGCATCCGTTATTAAATTATGTGTGTTAGTAAGCAGATCGAATATCTGTCTGGTATTGGGCTAGCCTGTTCTGAAATATAGTGTGAGTCAAGTGGACAACCTCATTAGCAGGTGCAGGCAGTAGGAGACCACACTCTGTCTCCCTCTGTTGGCTAAACATTGGAACTGCACAATGCTCATGTGAACAGTTTCTGTTGTACTTAACCTGCATGTGAATGTCACATATGTAACACTGTCATAAGCAAATATGAATCAGAAAGTTGTTCAGCATTGGTAAATACAAATAGAGTAGATTAAGTGAGTTAGGTGTATTTGCAACAGTATGAAGCATTTCTGCCAGTGTGAACATTAAATAAATATTCTATCAACCACCATAAATAGTATCACCCACTGAAAATCATTAATAATGTTTTAAGGCATAAATAACATTTATTTGTCTGACCACTTGTCTAGTTATTTCCTTCAGCACCTTTATTTACACATGTTAAGAGAAACATTAAGTAAATGTCTAACATGTATCAGCCATAAAAACAACAGCAACTAAAACAAATTAGGTAAATTTTCAGTGTCATAAATCAGATGATTTCCATGTATTTTGGACTGAGCTATGCTTCTGTATATTTCTATTAAGGAAAAGACAAAACTGCGCTAAATTTATTCACAAAAGGATGCCACACTAAACGTCACAAAATGCTTCTTGTCAATTTCCTGCATATGTTCATACATTGGGTAGAAGCTTTTATTACAAGCAAATAGAATGGCAAATTTGAACAGTAACATTTTAATATTTTTGGAGTAGCTGGTGTCATGCTTAATTTTGCTGTCTCAGCTGCCAACAGTGCACCGCACCTTTGCAGAGATAAGGTGTGTAGTCCTGTAGCTGCAACATAAGGGTGTGCACACATTACAAGCCATGCTGACATCTTTGTCTAAGGACAGGAAGGACCATGGACATGATGAGGATTCATAAAGTCTAGATTTTATATAAACAAGATGTATGGTGGGATTAGAATGAAATATTTCTATGAACTGCATTCTTTGCTTTTGTTCTGTGTGTGAAGTATTTCTGACACCTCCTAGAGAACTCATACCATGTCCACTGGTATTAATGGGATCTTTCTTGTTATCCCCCTATTACTGCAATATATTTGTCAGTCATTGACACAAAATTAGATCCAAAGACAATGAAAATCCTCATCAATGACAAAAAGTAAAGTGTGAAAATGGTGCAGGAAGGTGCATAGCAGTAGAAGGTACTTAAATCTACAGCAGGTGCCTGTCAGTAGTAAAAGCAACACATATCCACCCACAAACCTCAAAATAACTGATCCATGGGACAGTGCCTCTCTGCTGTTTTTTTTATTCCTCACTTTGGTCTGCACTCAGGTATCTGGCCTAACAAGTGCATTTTTGAGAAAACAGAGTTCCAGTCCAGCTGAGCGTTTCAAACCACCTATTTATGTCTTACTTCTATGCTGCACTCTCTGCTTTAAATGGGCAGTAATGAAGCAAAGCAAAGGAGTTTTCTTTGACCCCACAATCCAAGAATAAGGCTCTGAGCTGCCTGTTTTATTCAGCCTTTTTTACAACTGCCATCTCAGTCTCAGTACATTCATCTCCTACCACACTCCCTGCCCAGGTTCAACTAGGATTCCAGTCCAGTTTTTATTACAGCCAAGTCATCTGTAGTTTTTCTAATTCACATCCTAAGCCACATCCTCCTTTCATCATCAGTTCTTTGGATGTTTTCCACCCTTTTTTCTCTGTTGACTGTTAATTTTGACATGGTCATGCCAGTGTCTCCATCTGATGAGAGCTGGCCTTTGAAGGAAGCCAACTTACGTCCCACAGCGACACAGGCCAGACATGCCAAAGAATCCAGAATAAGGCCACTAAGCATTCCCACCAGGAACTGCAACCTGTTTTTAGCTACTTTGGTGGAATCTGTGCTCCATTCCCATACTCCTGAGGAGCTCCCAATTCGCATCAATTTTATAGGCTTAATTTATTTCCACTGCTGCAGAACTGATGTTATTACTTGAGTTCTGCAAAGGTTTTACATGAAATTTACAATCATTTTTAGCGATTTTTAAAAAACCCTTTTACTACCTTTCACCTCAGTATTGCAGTGTGTATTAGGGTTATTCACTGGACTACTTAAATATCAATAAAAGGTAGAAAAATGCAGGTGTTATAAAACTTTTGACTGATGACGTATATACATACATGTAAAAAAGTTAAATAAATTAAATGTGACAGTTTTACTACCTTTTGCCTCAGTGTTGCACTGTGTGTGTATGTGTGAGTAGGTATTTTTAACGCGAGTGGAAATATTCTGACAAAACCCATGACTGCAGATCAGAGGGAGCACACAACAAGGGTCTGTTCAGCGTCACATACCAACATTATAACGTTGTCGCTGAGACCCCAGAGTGATGGAAACACCTTCTGTCTTTACCCCGTGTACTTTTCTCCAGCACATTATTCTATGTAAGTACAGCACAGCTACTTTCAGACATAAACATTAACTAGAAATTTCCACATTTTAATTTGTTATTGGAGAAAATTAAAGGTGCAGTTACAACAAAGTACCAAGTAAGATGTCTTTTGTAAGAGTGATTAAACAGGAAAAGCAACAATGTTCTACATTTTCATGCCAAGCAGGTTTCACTAGTGTGCCATTCAGTTCACACCTTTTCCATATTTGTTTGTTTATGAGACAGGAAAAGACACACATGAACAAAAATGGACAAAAACTGAAGAAAAACACATAAATACACTCAACATCCTTCAAAACTGCCCTCCTGTCATTTGTGGCAGCAGTTTATTAAGACCATAAGGTGACCTCTAGTGGTCATAGTACTCATGACACAAACAAAGAAGGATGTTTGGTGACATAAGAGTACATTACAGTTCCCTTAATTGCATCCATGCTTCCCTGACTTGTGTCTTTACCTTTGGGCTTGGCCCACCCATGTAAAATGTATCCATGTTTCCCTGACTTTTGTCTTTACTTTTGGGCTTGGCCCACCCATGTAAAATGTGAGGAAAAGATGCCAGGAAACAGGAATCTAGGAAACAAGTTTTAGAGACGTGGGGCATCCTTTCCTCTGATCCTTCATCTGAAGTGTCCAATCACCAACTGTTTTCTGATAAAGGGGCAAGTCAGTGCATAAAAGATTTTCACAAAGTATGGCATCCTTCTCAGTCCTCAGTCCTCAAGGCAGGAGTAAGAGCTTTGGGACAACCTTCAAGATGGTGGATTGGAAAGACTTCTAGGACCAGCAAGGACTGAGGACCAAGGAACAATCAGTTGAGACTGACTTCTCCACACTAACATGTTCATGATTACAGTAGCAAAAACAATAAAAACAAATATATAAGTTTGGATGTTTTTACACTTTTGATTGGTAGTGTATGTATTTATTCATAAGCCAAAGTACTGGACAAATTTAAAATTTGAACTGGTGATTATCAAAATCAGAATAATTTATGAGGAGGACATGAGCATGTGTACCAAATTACATGGCGGTGGTGACACAAAATAAAAAGTCCAAGGATAACCAGGGTTGTCAGGATTCGTCCTAACCCTGAACCATGTTGCCACCCTAAAATTCAATGATTTCCTTGTGGATACTAGCTTCTGGTCTCCACAAGGATGGCTGAGTCCCCACAGTGTGAGTATGTTAGCAGGTTTCAGTCCTCATGATCTAAGTAATACAAAGGTATACACACACAAATCCCTTCACCTTCACTAAGTTAGGTCACTTAGATCTGAACCAACACACCAACCAACATCCCAGGAGGACAAAGAGGCAGATATATATCTGCAGTCTGAACCCTAATTTATAACATTTGCTGCCACACTCATGTATGGCTGGTTGCATACCACTGAGCTCTCAGGATGTCATGCCTGGTCCAGACAGTCTCAAAAATAAGCAAGTGCATAAGTAGTCTGCATTGCATGTCTTTGCCATGTGTGTATGAATGTGTTTGTGTGTACCTCTACTTTCATAAGTCTGTCTTTTTGAGAATTTACATAAATGAAACCCAGTAAATTGTCCTTTATGGGCTTCGTGTCTGTGAGTTGTTGTTCTTGCTGACTCAACCTTCATCCAGCTGAGGTGGAGGTCTTAACTACTGCAGTTTATACAAGCCGTAATCTTCAGAATCTCGTTAAAACTGCAGCACCTGTGCAGCTCAAAGTGTAAAGAAAGAATAACCGCATAAAAGTATCAAAGATACAGAATGTTGAAATGAACACCAACTTCCTTAGGCAGAAATTTCTATTAGACATCCTCAAACTTAAAGGAAGAAAGCATTGCTAAATTTAGCTCATTACAAAAAAGGCTAATTATCAACCCGAAAAAAAGCTGTCAGGACCAACATTAAACATAATATTTAAGTGCTAAGTACTGCTGAGCCTGGAGTGCAGCGTCACTTTAGACACTTTAGAAGTTGAATTAAGAGAAAGGAATGAATAATTTCATCTATTTCTGTAAGAACGGCTGGGATGCTGTTATTTAGCAAAAATTCAAATATGTTAAAACCACAGTGCAAGCGGCTTGTTATGCTTCCAAGCCCTACACCATGTTAAATAAGATATTGATGTCTTCTAAATCTGGTGTAATTTGCATTGTATACATTAATATGCAGGACTGAGAGTGACTTCTGGCTGGTCCCTCAGTCGTGGAAACACACCTGCGTCTGGTGTTTTGGATTTATATCATTCATGAACACACACATGCGCAGAGACACATATAAACATCAGGTTATACACAGTGACAAAGCACATCTGACTATAGGGCTGCCGAGGTCAAACAGCTAAGCCACATTCTTCCTCTAAAGCCCCCTTCCCAAGGGTTACACCAAGGTATTACTATAACTCTGTGTGGTCTGTCTCCATGTCTCATAGACACATCTGTTGCTTCTCTCTCCTCTGTCAGATACAGACACCTCTCTTCTCACCGTCTCCCTTTCTTCCTGTGTCTCTGTGTGAACAGAGGCAGGTCTGTTCTGGCGCCATCTTCCTCTCCCTTCTCTTTTCTCTTCCTCCGCCTGTCTCTTTGCCCTTGCCATGGCCCTTTCCCCTCTTTGCAAACATCCTGGTACAGTGATCTGAAGCCAGTGACCATACGGTGGAGGTCAGAGGACAAGACAGTCTGTCATCTTAAACCATCTTGCTAACAAGTATGGAAAAGAGCTGATGAGAATTTAGAGGACCTGGTGGATCTGTTTGAGCATTTTGCTTGTGCTGTGTGTTTGTTTGTGTCTAGAAACACAGCACTGCCAAAGCATTTAGAAGCTAAAATATTCACTTATTCAACCAAATTAAGTCTTACTTAAAGTTTCTCTATGAAACAGGCAGGACCAAAAACTAGTATTTAAAACCATCTGAATACATTTGGAAAACCACCATGCCTTCTTCCCTGCACCACAAACCATTTACAAATTCATACTTAAGCCAGCACTACACTTACACTCCATCCTGATAAGTGAAACTGACATTGTGGTTGCTCAGTGAAAGGGGAAAAAGTCTGCAGCTCCTCCGCTCCCTGAATGCAGCTTTTATCACAAAGCCCATCTTATAAAATTAACACCTTTTCAAGTCACACTGCAAATGCCCTCGTTCAAACAAAGCCTGTATACAATTTGAGCTCCTCCACACAAACACACACACACACACACACACTGCCACAGCTGTGCAGCTAAATGACCAAAATGTTTACTTCTTTCCCTCTTGTCTACCATCAGTCTTGGTTTTCACTGAGTCTTTTTATCCTTCTGAAATCTACAAAATAATGTATTGAAGGTGGTATACAAGCATGTGAAAGTACATGTGAAAGTTTACCTCTTGTGCACAAGACAAACGATATTTAATCTTTAGTGGCACTTTTCATGATCTTAGGTCAGTGCAGGTCCCTGAACATCATGCATGCACATACATCAGATCAAAGACAACAAACAGAAAAAAGACCTGATATTTATCCAAACAACGCACCAATAAAGTGAGAACCAAGAATCTTATTTTTGTGATGACACAGGCAGATACCACATATTCACAGGCAACCCACATGACCAAAACGGATCCAGATAGTCTTCTTTACGTTGTGGATTGTGGTCTCTGCCAAATGTTTTTGTAATTGTATGGATGTGGAGCTGTGAAAATAGTTATCAATGATTCTGAAAACCCACACTATCCAACAAAGATGTGTGTTTTGATTTACTCTTTGATACAATTCACAGCTGTAGATATTTGGTAACAGGCCTGGTAACAGAAATGTGTCATTGCTTGGGCTTCACATTTATTCCTCAGTTTGTAAGCTCCTCTTAAATATATGATCAGGACAAATGATCCTGGACATAATCAAGTCATAACAATTTCGTCTTGTAGCAAGTGAAAGTTTCTGTGAATGATGATGAGGCGCCAAACTAAACAGCAACGTCACTAAACTGAAAAGCATTAGCAAATCAGGCCAGAGAAATAGAGCTACTCAAAGTCAGAGACAGCATTTGCTCTGCAGTCTCTTCTCACCAAACTGCTGCTGTTGCCCCCATCACATAGATCCAACAGTTTGGCTTCAGCTTTCTGCATGCACACACTCACTCTACAGTACAGGTCTTCTCTCACAGCATGCACAGCACACACTCCAGCTCTCCAGAGCCCTGAACAAAGCAGGCAAACTAGGCATGCTGCACATCTGGCGGCCTGAGAAGCACAGTTGTAGAGATGTTCTACCTGCTTCTCTTGTGGTCATGCACAGAAACGATGCAATCGCTAGAGGTCACATGATCGATCCCACAGCTGCCCACTGACACCGTTACAAAGAACACACAATTCATCCACTCAGATAATTCAACTCTGCAATCCCACTAAATCATGATTACAGTGAAAGCAAACTTTATACTCAATGGTGGATCTATAAGTAGTGGAACAACAAGCGAAATCAAGCAATGAACAAACAATTCATTAAAGACAATAAAACAGCTTGGAGATGTAAAAATACTTGTATGACTCTAAGATAAACTCTTAATAGAAATTCTAATCGAATGCTTATGGCAGAATAGATAAACACTGGATATAGTGAGAGGACAAGGCTTACCTTTGTGAGGGGCTGTTTATACAGAAATAATCACTGAAGTCAGACTAACAGACAAAATATCAGGCAGACCACAATGAGCAAACCCTGGGACATATGCTCATAACAGATGAACACAGCTTATATCTGCTGGAGGGTGGGGCCAGTTGGGTGGGTGGCAAGAAGAAAAAGAGAGAGAGAGAGGGGGGATGAGGGACATGGGAGGATGGGGGCTTGACTCAAAATAAATAACATGTTATAATTCATAGTGGCAAAACATGTTCACATCCCTCTGTTGAATGCCCACAGTGAATGGCAGCGATAAAGAGTAATGCTTCCCTCATTAATGTTGTGCACTAATTCACAATATAGCAGAGCAATTCATTCTTCTTGCGTACGAGCCCACTGACACACTGGAGCTGGTTGTTGGAGATCACCTGTCCTTTCAGGGATGCAAATGCACATCTGCAAAATTAGAAATATGTCTGCAGTTACATGTTGTAGAAGTAAATAAATATACAGTTTATGTTAAGGGTACTTTATGAATTTCTTTTTGTGAGATCTAATTTTAATCCATCACATCACATTATATTATATTGTTATATCTAACAGCAATAGTTCCAAAGTACATTATTATTTAAAATTTGAGGCAAAAACAAAATATTAGTGATTTTCTGAACTTAAATTTATGTTACTTTATACACTAAAGATAAGCATTAAAATAGATAATAAAATTGAGAGTTTCTTCCTTTCTCTTTTGTACTATTATGTTTTCCATGTTGATATATAAAAAAACAACAACTTATAAATAAAATATAAAAAGATATAAAGCTAATAATTTACTTTCAACATTAGTGAAATAAAACTTTGTTGCAAGACTTGAGTTAGTGATTGTGTATGTTATTTTTTTGTACTTTAGCTTTAGTATAGTTTTTAAGTACTCCAGCATCTAAAAGCAGAAGGAAAAATAAAATTCTTGCTTTTACACCTGCGACAGCAACACTGTGAAGAATTGAGTCGGCATTAAACGTGATGACAATCATGTTTAATGAGTTTAATTACACTTAACAAGGACTATTTAGTCACAGCCACAGACCAAAAATAATATATTTCTCTGAGCGTCTTTGTTGGTCTGTGGCGACAGACACTTTCCAGGGCAGTTTTGACACTTGTGTACAACAACGTAGTAACTCAGACATGTCCAGCCACTCAGTATGTACATACAATATGACTCTTTGTACTGTGTGTCTTCTCTTTTATTTCCTTTGCGTTAGTTGCTGCACTCTTTGCTCCAGTGATTTAAGATATAGAACAAAGACCAGCAGTGTGTCCCTGAGGGTGGCTTAATGTGTGTGTGTGTCTACAAGGGATAGTGGGTACTTGCAGTTCCAAAGTGGCACAGTGGTGTAAAAGGGTGGATGGCCTGTTACCTCTCCAGCAGCCAAGTGTCAGCTTAGTCAGCTTACTGGTCCTTGCTTGATGTGAGAGCTGAGAACTATCTTTTGTCATGATGTTCCTGATGGTCTTAAGAATTTTGCTTCTACATTTAGTATATGTAACAGTAAGAAACATTAGTCTGGTAATGTTGTATAATCCTACATCTGTGTGAAAATGTTCTAATGACATCATCCTTCAGTAATGAGGTGATCAGTTTAAAGCCATCATGTTAGCTTTATTGCTGTGATGCTTGTATATGTAATATAACCCTCAGCCTTTAGCTCAAATACTCCAGTGCAGTTTTCATCTCTAAGGAGTATAGCTTGTAATTGTTCCCCCACATGTCCACTTAAACACAGCACTCATATAAATGCAATAAGTGCAGCACAGACACAGGCACACACTTTGAGTTGTGGTGTGAAAGGTACACGATGGACGGAGGGTAATGAGTTGTGTGTGTTTGCTCTGGAGCTTCAGTCCTCTTCCTGTTCCGTTAATGAAGCCTCAATGGGCCTCCTGACTACTTCTCATCATTCAGCCGGCACCTGTTGCACTTCATCCTGCTGCACATAAAAGTAGACTCCATGTACTGATTCAGTCCTGTTGTTCACATGCATACACCCTGGCAGTTTGACTTAGCGTTCATTTTGTTCTTGTACCAGGTGAGGTCGATGATTTATAGTTAAAGGTACATTGGTTAAAATAAAATAATGGAAGAAATGATTGTGTGTAAGACTGAAACAATCTTTGTACTCTCCTGTAGTGGTAAGAAGGACAGTGAGTAACTTTTCAGCACTTTATTATCACATTAGAGAACTGAAGTCACATTGCTGTAGTCTGGACATCAGGGACATGCGATCCTTGAGAGAAGCAGGCAGACATACAAAGCTCTGCCCTGCTCTGTTAGAATAAAAAAAGAATTATGGTTTCCCCACTTTCCGACTTAGAATCTATATAAAGCAAAAACAAGTAACACAGAATCCAACACAAACACACATATACAGTGTGATCTCCCACGAATTTTGCATGCACAAACACAAACTTTTGCAGTTTATAAGATAGAGTGGCTTTGTTTTCCCACTAGCTGGCATGCCCACTCTCTGCCCTGAGAAAGTATTATGCATTACATTGTCCAGAGCCCCTGAGTGTTCTGTGGAGCACCGCTTCGAGGCTGAACAAAAACATTAATTTGGCCACGCTATACATACTGCTTACTAACAGTCCAAATAAGTAGATGGCAGACAGAATGGCATTTAGACAGAAGACGCAGTTCTCATGTCAGTGTGGAGGAGTTGATAAATTTGTAACTTAGAGAGCAATCTGTGCCCAGTCTGCTATTTATTACCGTCTGCTGGTCTCCAACTTTCACAGACTATTTTCTGTGACCTCCACTCTTCAAACTGTGAACAGTTGTGTGTTGTGAATACATACACATGCTGTCCAAAGATGTACAGAATCCCGCCAACTTATTGTCTGTGCTTCAGTGTATCATGGCAGCTGTAGATGCAGTTTTAAATATTTGCTCTGCTCTGAATTTACATTTTACAGTCATAAAGCTGAGCCTGCCCATCACCACAGTAACTCACTGTTAAGAATCTGTTTTTCACAGTCTAAGAGTTGCTGTCCTATGGTACTGTCACAGTTTCAGATGACTTTACGGCATATGAGTTTGCAAGGCAT